GCTCTGACCTCTCCGCAGTACGATGTGGATGCTGCACTGGATAGCTGGAAGATGACAGAGACGGAAGGCTATGATGACGAACTGGTGGCCGACTTTGAGCGGGCCCTGCGTACACCCACGCCCCCCAATTCGCCACCGCCCACCGCACAAAGTCCAGGTAATAAAAGTGGCCGGGAATAGCCCAGGCCTGGGCCCACAATTAGTCAGGCAATTCTTTTCCCCTCTCTGCATCTCGACGTTGTCGTTGATAAAGGCTCAACGTTAGCTCTAGTTAACCACCTAGTTACACACCATATAATACATGGATCTTTATAGCACACCCCACACACTTACTGTTGTACTTAAATTGGCATCCCATTTTGCCTCGATTCAACTTTTTATGGCTGTCTATATAGCATAAAATCAAACCAACCATCAACGGTCGCTCACCCAGCGATCGTTCCATTGAAATACAAATTATTGATTGAATATTGTTTGGGGAAAATCGATCCCCAAGCCACACACATGCATTATTATGTATTAGTTCTGAAACTGTGTTAATCACCTAAGTATTTAGAAATTATTACTTAATGAAAATTTAAATAAAAATGCTAAAGCAAAAGTGCACACAAACTGCGAGTATTTCAGAGTTTTTCTTTTGTTCAGAGGGTAAAGACTTTTATCGAAATGTTGATTGATAACCATATATATTTTTAGCACACTACTACTGAAATCAACAAAATCGGATGGCGCACCTTCTGGGAAATTCACACTGACTCATTAATCAACTTAGAAATAACAAATATTTGCTATGAAATGGATACACTTGTTGACAAACATCTATTTGACGTTGCAAGCACTCTCTAACGTCGCTATTAATTGAAAGATTATTGCATTCTCAGCACATTCTAGTCAATGACAATCAAAGCCTAGGAAGAAAAGATTTCATGAATAAGCTTGCATTGCCCTAAATAAATTTGTTTCCATATCCTAATCTTAACTAATTTCCGTTCTTAATTTCCTGATCTTTACCTACAACTTTATCTTAGGCCCAGAATTCAGTAGAACCACTGGGTTATCTTTCCATTGTTAAGACGATAACTGAGAGAACCTTAAATCTTAATCTACCGTAAGGAGTGAAAGACCTTAGCCATGAACACAAACCAACAGATTGCACTCATCTTAATCGTCAGAGATAAAGATCGCTCTGTGTAATGCACAAATTCAACAGAAACACATTCCTTAAGCCTTTATAATCCCCTTTTAAAAAGGAACCGTAAGTTTAAACAAAGATTTCAAACCAAGTCTGTTTAAATAGATATTGAAAAATATTTTAATATAAAAATTGTTACAACTATTGTGTGATTTATTTTTTTGTGGGGTTAATAACCCCTCCCTCACATATTTATATACATATATCATTTAATATATATGTATGTTTGCCATATCTGGATTTATATTTTCATCTCTTTATCGTTTTTTCTATATGCTAGAAAATCAAAAAAACATTTCACGAATGCACAACAGAAAATAATGATTTGGATATACAATGTGGATTCAACTACAATATGTCTATAGATATACGCGTATGGGGATGTATCTGATGTAAATGAAATACTTTGAATGGATTGGATTGGATTGAAGGATTACATATATGTAAATAGTATGGGTGTATGCTAAGAGCGAAAAAACTACAGAAAAGCATATAGTATTTAGAGGCTATACGCGGTTATCTGTAATCAATTTGCGCCTAGATACATATAACGTGTTAAATATATATAAAACTATAAAATATGTAATGTAATAAAAAATCTGTAAACTGTTATATCCGCTCCTCGACGTTTGCCTTAACATGATGGCTTACAAATTACAATGTTATGTTACGAGAAAGTGTTACACAGATTGGTCTCTGTCGAAAAATACAAATGAGCTGGAATACGTTTGGCGATTGTTTGTAAATGGAACGCTTCATGTTCGGTTTCTGTTTCTGTTCTTCGATTGATGTGCATAATGATAGATTGAAATCGTTTATAAATCTGTGTGTTGCTGTATCTGTTTTTTGTTTTTGTTTATGGCGTCTTTCAGTCAATGACCACGCGGGTGAGGAGTATGCCCCGCTTGCTCAGCCACAATCTATAAATAAACGAATAAATAATTATCAATTAATTCGCAGAGATTGCGGACTGCAGCAGCTGCACTTACCCAAAGCCGGCACCAAGCAGCAAGGACAGGACATTGGTGAACAGCAGCGAGTAGAGGATTTCGCGGGAGAACAGAGACTGGGCACCCAAGCGCTTCAAGCGTATGGAGTAGCCACCAGTAGTCTTCTTTTTCTCCTCCTCGTCGCCATTGTCAGACTTATGGACAGACTCGAACTTCCAGTTTCTGCAATACCAAAATAGATCTTTAATAAATATTGTTCTACAAATATTAATTCTTGGTCGTACTTGGGAGGCTGCTCATCTGCGCCCCGATTCCAGTTCTGCAGCCAATCTCCATTGTCTGTGTTCTGTTTTTCGCCAGCCTGCCAACAAAAGAAATGTACACGAGTATAGTATCAAGTTCTCCTCCAAGGGTGAACCCTCGTTTTATCTCTGACTCACCTTTGTCCAATAGTTAATGTAGACGTTTCTCAGCTCATCGTCGGGACAGAGTTCCGTTTGTGGACTGTTCGGTGGGCTCTTGGGGCTGTCTCGGGGCGTATCACGGCGAGAGCTTGCCAGCGAGACCACACGGCTCGACTGGTTCGATTCGCGCTGTGCCTCGCGCAACAAGCGCAGATACTCCTCCCCATTGTTGAACGGCAACGGTGTGATTCTGTCGGGGCTCTTGATACCGGCCATGGCAGCTGTTGTGCTCAGTTCAATCCAAGATTCTGCAACAGTAAATCACACAAAATTGCGTTATTATGATGAAGCACCAAAGAGTAGGACAAATAAAGAGAAGCGACTGAAAGCTGTACCCAAATGGTGTGAAACTATCTGCACACTGAGTTGTTTGCACTGGTTGCTGGTCAAATATAGTCTTCGTTTGTTTGTCTAAACTGTTTCATTTAGTAAGAAAAATACTCTGCCAATGTATCGAATTGTTGATGCACCGAATATGCTGTACTTGTCTTTACTGGTCAGAAATTAGCCTTAATTAACATATCGTCAGTTATATTAACCTTTTGGGAGCATAGCCTTTTGGAACATATTCAACTGGTAAGAGATTCGTGAAACAAGTAGGTTTTAAATGCACTCGGAATATTGTTGAGAATAAACACGCCACAGTTGTACATTCACAGTTAAAAAGCCGTTCAACTTTGCTGTGGCTCCCAAAATACAACGTCGTCACCCCTTTGCTAGCCTTTGTTTTTGTTTGCTTAAACGTAAATAAAATCATTTCCCCGTGCGCGCGCGCCTTAATGTCTGCGTGTGCGTGTGCGGTACGTGTACGTGTTCTCGTGCCCCATTGATAAGGCAAACACTACATTACCCTACCTTCCCCACACAATTTGCGTTTCTCTTTATTGGAGTACGAGAGCACACACACACACCAACAAACACCGACACGTTTCTGTTTATTCCAATGCTTATCAACATAACGAGAAAATGTATTTTCAAAGCGATGCAGTATGTCTGTTGGGAGAATCGTGTGCAAATTCCACGCGAGAGATGCTTGGCTGGCTGATAAGGAGCGTACAACAGTAATGGCAACTAATTTAGAGAGCAACAAAAAGGGGGAGAAGCAAAGTGCAGGTTCACTCACGTGGCAGACCAATCATGCTGACAAACGAATACTAAATGACACGTCTAGACAGTGTCTCAAAGATTTGTTCATAATAATCTTGGCAAACCCTAATACAGGTAGCCTAGGATTAGGGAGCACAGGTGGACAACAGTTATCGGGAACCCACTGTACAGGGAACAGGTACGAAGGGAAACGCTAAGACAATGTGTTTAGGGGTGGCAAAAACATGGCTTGCTGACTCACGGCACGTAGGCCGACTGCAACAGTATTTGTGTGTCTCTCTCTCTGTCTTTTGTTGTTTGCATCTCTTGATGCGCAGCTGCTGCTGCGGCCCTGAGCCTCGGCCCATTGAACCGCCTTTTATTGGATGACTCCTCCATTAGTAACTGTGTGTGTGTGGAGAATGATGATAAGTAGGTAGAGCCGAAAAATATACTTGAGGCTAAAGCCAAAGTCGCAATTTCTGGAATATGTGCGAAATCAACAAAAATCATGGGAGCATAGGGAAATGCCCTCCTACTTGCTTTTTAAAATATTTATTTAAAAATTATTTTCGCAAACAAGAGGAGAGGGGTGCCGGAACGTAGGCTGTTTGACGTCAAACTGTAAAGTGCAAAATAAAGAGACATGGCAGGAGGGAGAGTGAATGGCCATGCCAAAGGGGTACAGCTCCTTTGTTTTCACACTTTTATTTTGCGGCGAAGTTGTGGCTCTTTGTTGCCATACTGCTGCAAAGAGGCGCAACAAAGCAAAGCCTTGAAATAGAATATGGGAGACGAGGCGGATGCAAGTGGAGCACTGGGCAAAGACGAATATGCGGATACAAACAAAACACAAACACAAACATCTATTTATAACGCGTCCCACCACAACTACCACTGCAGCAAATAGCACGCAGAGAACCAGAACGGGTTAGAAAAATGTATATGAAGTAGAAGGTATTTCCAGACTATTAAATACGCCTTGTTATTGTTTAACGAAGATAATGAAATTTTACAATACACAGAAAATAGCATAGCAGAAGCCAAAACAACTTACCGCCCAGCAAATCTTCAGTCGATTTTGGTGTCGTAGACATTTTGTTTAGGTATTTGTGTGTGGCTATACGATAGGGCTTTCTGTGTTCCGAGTGTACACTTGTACACCAAAAGATAACTCGTTCTCCGCTGGTATTTAGTCAGTTTAAATTCAACTTTAATTTATTCTTCTTGTTTTTGCCAGACTTCTGTGGGCCCTTTATTATTATTCGCACTGCTTTGCCTGCCTATGTGTGTGTATTCGCTTTTTGGGTTAATGTATGCGTGAGAAAATGCGTTTTACTTTCTGTTTGGCGCTGGTTCTCCGCCTGTGCACTGATTGATCGATGTTATTGTTTTTCGTTATAGCCAAGCTAACAACTTGCACTTTAGTATATTGCAACTTTGTCCAATGCTTAACCGAAGCGCTCTCTTTTTTGACTAAATGAAACACAAAATATATTCTACGCACCCGCCAAGCTTAATGCGTAGTACAATGTTTTTGCTGGTGTGACCAGGCTGGGGCGAAATAAGCCGATATATCGATGAGATATGACCAGGTTGCACTCGGCGTTTTTATTGTTAACGCGTTTTTAAAAACAAATCGAATGTTTCCAAATCACTTTTTGCCACATTTCGAACAAAATAAAAATTGTTTCCCTGCACTATGGTCCTGGGCGAGATGTACAAGTCCTTCTGCGGATCGTACTGTGCACGGCCCAGCAGTTTAAGGAACTCATGACGTTCGCGTAGCCGAAATTCGCGCGAGGCCAGCAGCTCGGCGCACTGCACTATCTGGGAATGCGGCAGGCCCATACCCTTGTGAATATAGCTGAATCGCTCCACCAGATCATCGGGGGCTGCAGGATACACATTTGTTAGATCATTAGTGTGAGGACAGGATTTTATAAATCAACTTACGAATCATCATCAGACGGGGCTTGCGTACAATCAGAGATTGCAGCTCTTTGGCATTGAAACCCATTTCCTCTCGGAGGGTAAACACAGATTTACGCAGGTGCTCCATTTTATAGGTGATCAAATTAGGCTCTTTGGTGGCCATCAGTCGCAGGTCGTGCCCACTCAAGTGAAACTCCTTTTGGAAGTAGCCGAGGCGGCGGTTCACGCGCTTCGTGGAGAACATCAGCCAAAACGGATTCTGGGTGAAGATGCGCTGTATGGCCTCGTCCGAGAATCTTTTGCTTTTCAGGTACTCTACGCGCGTCTGCAAGTCATCTATATCCTCCTTGAACAGCAGCGGGTTCTTTGTGATCATCCTTCCAAAGTCATCGGGTGCAATGCCCTGGTCCGCGAGAAAGGACAAACACGGTTTGATATTCTTCTCAAAGTCCAAGCGAAGCACAAACTCGCCCAGACCCTTGCGCCTTTCTATGCTGTGCAGATCCACGCCCAGGCTAACCAGGTGCTGCAGTGTGCTCGAGTTGTTGACATAGGCGGCCAGATTAAAGGAAGGCACGTGGGCCTCCCGGTTCCCAAAATCCAAGGCGACTGCACTGGAATCTTGAGGCGTGGGCTCCAGCTCCTTGTCATTCGGTTTTGTGGTCAAGTCTATGGGTTTGAGTGTATCCGCCTCACTTTGTGTACTTCGGTTGCTCCGTAAATGCCGGCATTGAGCGCCAATTGCTTTGAATTTCGCTGCATTTTGTGCATTTTTTATAATAATGTTACGTATTGCCGAGCCAAACATGATTACATATCGATATATCGCATATCCGATTTTGTCTCAGTGCTGGAAAATGCAAACAACTAGAGCAGCTAATCGATATACATACATCGGAGCCAGCTTGTCACACTCGATCTGATTGATCTTTGGTTTTTCCTTATTGTTTTTACGCCGAAATAGGCTTATATATTGTCAAATTAGAGTGGTAGTTCTCGCGAAAGACCTTTTGATTATAGAGTTTTGTTTTGTTGGACAAACTGGACACCATGGACAAGTTACGCCGCGTTCTGAGTGGAGATGAGCCCACACCGGAGGAGGAGAGCAGCATAATAACACAGGTGAAACCCATTGTTTATGGCTGCCCCATGAACACAACTTTCAGCTGAGGATGGAGGCTGTCTCGATTGGGGCACGCTACCATGCCGTACGCCCCCACGATCACATGAACTCTGCCTCAGCCGCTGTGACTCAACGCTTATCAGCCGTATTAATTATTGACCCCGCCATTATCTACACATTTTAGATGAACGACATGTCCACGCTGAGCTGGTCCACACGCATCAAGGCATTCTGCATTTGCTTTGGCTTGGGCATCTTCCTATCTCTGTTGGGCTCCATTGCTCTCTTTCTGCATCGCGGCATTGTGGTCTTTGCGGTTTTCTACACATTGGGAAACATCATCTCGATGGCCAGGTGAGGGGGTTCTGTTTGACATCTTGGGTTTTCACATGAACCAGCTAATGAGTTTGTCTTCTCCTCAGTACATGCTTCCTGATGGGCCCATTCAAGCAGATCAAGAAAATGTTTGCCGATACGCGCCTTATAGCCACCAGCATTGTGATCGTGGCCATTGTTATGACATTCATTTCCGCCATAGTGGTACAGCATGATCCCATTCTATCCCATTTACAATTATGATTTACGTTTTGATTTGTGTTGTTTTTGTTTTTCGTTTATCCCTTATTTTTAGTTGAAAAAGACTGGACTCACGCTTATATTCATAATCATACAATCGCTGGCCATGACCTGGTATTCCCTCTCTTACATACCCTATGCACGGGACGCGGTCAGGAGTACCGCCTCGGCATGTTTCGAGGTGTAGAAAGAAACGTTCTCACTGCGTTTTGGTATTTGTACATAACTCGAGAAAATTCAAAATACGTCTCTTAATTTAATTAACAGAAATCAATTGAACAACTGTATTAATATCTAGCATTAGCAAGTAGAAGATATTGAGTTTAAATTTTACTTTTACTTTACTGTTTGCCCATTAACAAGTATTGCCTTTGGTTCTAATCTTTCAAATAAATATATATATAAATCATATATATACATATATTTACATACATACATATGTTTTTTATGTTTAATTTAATCAGTACAGTTTTCATTGAGTGTATGTACAACGAGTGTTTCGGTTCTTTGATTTGCTTCTGTCTCTTCCACATTGATTCTTTATTCTTTTTGTAGATTTCAGTTTCAGTTTTAATTTATTTCACCTTCTTCGCTTTCTGCGGCGTCAAGTTACCTAAAAGATTGGAAACGAAACGGTGTTTTAGTTCGTTAGAAAAGTAACAAAAAAATGAGTTAGACTATTTTAATTTTAATGTCGTAGTGCGCAGTGCTTGGGGCATCAATGGATTTACTTCTCGACACTTGTGCTATTTATTTTGTTTGGTGGCAATGCAATCCAAAAAGAGAAATAGAGAGACAAAATAGACAGAGAGAGAGAAAGAGATGGCAGGGAGAATTCAAAAGGGAGAATCATGAGTTTAGAAAGACGGAGAATTTGCGATTAAAACAATTGAAACAGAGCCAAAATTAACACAAAGTTAAAAAGTGCAGACTAGATAAAATGTTAGTTATAATTCAGAGGCAACATTGGAAAAGTTAACAATGAAAATTGGTTCATATATTAAAGATTAAGACTGAATTGATTGCCCGTTTTAAGAGTACATATTTAACATTGTTAATCTTATCTTTATTCCCCATTTTCATTTGTTTCTAACCAATGTTGTCTGTTGGCTTAGACGCGAACGTGGACATACCTTTCGATGGCGATGGCGATTTGGCAGGACTTTGTTGGTCTTTTCTCTTTGTGGGCGAAGAGGTTTCCTTTTTCAGCTGGCGTTGCTGCAACAAAGAAACAAATCAATTAGCAAAAGGAAACAAACAGAAAAAGATTCGGGGCCACAAACCTGCCAAGAAACAGCAAGGGCCACAAATCCCACCGAGATGATCACTTGAATCGACAGCCACAGGACAATGTTGATGGCTTGCGTGCGCTCAAACAACTCCTTGCCATTCTTTATGCAAAGAATGGCCTCGGAGACCATGATGGCGCCGTAAACCCAACACTGGGTGCCGACCCTCTTGCAGCGCGTATCAGTGACATATACATAATATTGCCTGTAAAAAAGTAAACATTTGAGAAGGGTCTTTGGAGTTGTAGGTCTAAGGACTCACCTAACCGATGGCGCCACAAAGAGGCCAATAAATACCAAACGTCCAATGACAATAAAGTGATCAGGTGGCATTTCAAAGATATGCTTCAAGAAGAACGTATTCAATTCTGTGACCTGCCAGAATATTACTAGTTGTATCACGGCTGCAAATCTCATTGCCGTTGACTTTGGATCCAGCCAGCGAATTGCTGTCCAGCTCTCTGGAGTAAACTGCAGCATGGCACGCTTGATTTTGCCCGTTGTCGTAGATATATCCTTAATGCTGGCCCACTTGTATTCGCGCATTTCGAGCATTTTACATATCCATAGTCCGACATAAATGCCCAAGCCATTGCAGATAATGACATCCAGGATGAGGGCATCCCACCAGCATTCAATAAAGTTCGGCAGCAAATGGGCAAAGGTGATCTCGGTGATTTCCCACATCACGGAAATGGCCCACAGAATGCCCATGTGACGGATGAGGATGGCCTTGAAGGCCCAGCCCAGGAAGTGGCCCCAGGCAAAGACATCCAAATGTCCCTTGACACGGTCCCAGCTGATGTCCGTACAGTTGACGCCGTATTCCTGAAGGACAGAGGCAAAGATACAGATAAGTATGAGAAGCCATAGCAGTGGCATTTTTGAATAAGGGATTATTTATTACCTTCTCCATGTCAATGTGAAAGTTCTTAAGTTTGGGATCGATCCAATAGAATATACTCCGTATGGTTGGATAGTTTTGGAACATCAGAAACTGCAGTGTCAGCAGATACAAAACCGAGCAGCCAAAGAGTATACGCCAGACGGCCGGATGCGGCCGCGTAAATGGTCCATTGGGTAGTGCCAGAACCGAGATGATCAGAAAGAAGAACACAATGCAGAGCAGGCCGGCCCACAGATTATCGTCCACATTCGTTTCGTTTCTGAAAGGATAAAGCACGGGCATACCCATGGGGTAAATCAATTGGGCTCTGGTTATGCTGGTGAGTGATGCTGCTGCTGCCTGGTTAGCCAGACCATTCGCATTTCTTATCAGCATCGTCGCACGTTTTCTGTTTGGTGGGGTCAATGAATCGTATCGATGTTGTACATTGGCGTAGTCTTTGCTTTGTTGTGGCTCTCTTTCTCTATGTGTGTACTATATGTACAAGCGTCTGTCTATATTATTTTAGTTTTGTGGACCTTGAGCGGACTGAAATGACACATTTGGCAGTGCGTATCTGACATTTACCCGTTTGCCTCAAACACTTTCGGTTGCAGGCAAGGTCCAACCAACCAACCAAAAATCACGAAACGAAACGAAATATCAATAGGTGGTTGCTCCTAACCTGACAAAGGCAGTGTACATCACGGCCAGAACGGAGACGGCCAGCAGGGTGATGGTGTGTGGCTTGTAGAAGAAGTCAAGGGATATGTCATCCACAGGACGTTCGTTGACGATGACAAAGGTCTGGGCGATTTCCTCCTTGCGTATGCGTTGCGCACCAGCACTGTTGCTGCCATTGTCGCTGCCACTGCGCTCCTTCGATGGTGTGGCAGGGGCACTGGCTGCTCCCGACTTGTACGCATGCTGACGATCGCCATCGACCGACGGCGTGCCACGTGAGTTGGAGCGCTTCTTCATGGCGCCTTCAAAGTCACTTTAAATTCGATTATCAGATGTAAGCGGATGGCGTGATGATGGTTGCGCTGGTGGTGGCGGCGTTGTTAGGCGGTCTGATTGCTTGTGGTAGTGGTGGTGAAGGTGGCTCAAATACATGCGGGGAGAGCAGCGGGTTGCGCAACATTCGTGTGTCGGGTTGACTTCTACGGCTTTGCCGCTGCCAAAATCGCCCTGGTCCGTGTCCTGTTTGTGCTATCTGCAATGCCTCACGCATAGATGCCCGATTCCAGTTGAATTAAATTGATTTTATTTAATCTTTTGCCAGCAATGTCTTTTGTTGTTAATTAACATGCGCGAGGCGCGGACCGCGGGTTTATCGATAATCGAACCTCCCGGCGGTGGAGGTGCCGGACTGCCGTACGTGTAAAGTGATAAGCCAGTGTTGCCAGACTGCCGATATTCGGCAAACAGCTGATGGTACAGGCACTTGTTGACGAATCACCATTTCTGCAATTTCAACAATTTGTTTTCAATTTTAACGCTTGAAATAAGAGAAAATCATGCTGGACAAAGTCAAGAACGTGATAATAGTGCTCTCTGGAAAGGGTGGCGTGGGCAAGTCAACTGTTAGCACACAACTGGCGCTGGCAATGCGCCACGCGGGACACAAGGCAAGTGCCGGGCCAACTATTTCACCACAAAACATGTCATGGAAGCGTAATTGTTATATTTTCTTTATAGGTGGGCCTGCTGGACATCGATCTGTGCGGACCCAGTGTTCCCTTTTTGCTAGGCCTCGAGGGCAGCGATATCTATCAGTGCGACGAAGGCTGGGTGCCCATTTACACGGATGAGAGCAAAACCCTGGCCGTAATGTCAATTGGATTTCTGTTGAAGAGTCGCACGGATCCCGTTATTTGGCGTGGTCCTAAGAAAACCATGATGATACGCCAGTTCCTCACTGACGTCAAGTGGGATGAGCTGGACTATTTGATCATTGACACACCGCCCGGCACCTCCGACGAGCACATCACCGTCATGGAGTGCATGCGGGAAGTTCCCTGCAATGGCGCCATTATTGTGACAACGCCACAGGGCGTGGCCCTGGACGATGTACGCAAAGAGATTACCTTCTGCAAGAAGACGGGCATACGGCTGTTGGGCATCGTCGAGAACATGAGTGGGTGAGTTTTGGGCAAGCGGCACCTTTTGCTACCATTTCTTTACCCTCTCGTTTGCTTTGCACAGCTTTGTGTGCCCCAATTGCACCAACTGCACCAATATCTTCTCGTCTAACGGCGGCGTTGAGCTGGCAAATCATGCCCAGATTCCACACCTCGGCACCCTGCCGATAGATCCACGCGTGGGCGTGCTGGCAGGCTCGACAGCCTCTGTGCTGGACGAGCTGCCCGATTCAACAACGGCCCAAGTGCTGAGGGGACTAGTTCAGCATTTGGATGCCGTAACAGCAGCCGGTGGTCCATAGATTAAATAGTGCTTAGATTGTTGGTAAGTTTTTCATTTACTTTGGTTTTTATTTTTTTCATTATTTTCTTTTTCGCGTTTTAATGACTAAATTTGTGTAAGAATAAAATGAAATGATATAAGGGAATGCCAGTCAATGTCGTTTGAGGGTATCCGAGTCAGGATTGCGAAACTGTTCGATTAGCAAACCGAGTCGCACTGCGCCTTTTGGATGGATCAATCCCTATGTGCCCAGTGGGGTATGGCTTTGCATATCCGAGTCTCAATTTTTGTATGTATTTGTGTATATTTTATATGTATATATATATAATTTATGAGTGAGAGTAATTGTGTTCAAAAGACGTACATATACGTATGTAGGTGCCTTTTTTTTTGTTTAATACTTAATCCAATCTTCGATTTCCGTTTTTTTCGTTTTCTTGCAGTTTTTTTCTATTTTGTCTTTGAGCTATCTAAGAGTTATTGCAAGATAACGTCAACTGTCTTAATGGAACCTTAAACTAAATTCTAAATTGTTGAATTTGAGCTTAGATCGTACATATGCAGGTTTGCTTATAAATATATATGAAAGTTAATAACCTTTGCAGACTTTTCCAACAACACTCTGATAGTAATACAAATGACGGAGCATTTTTCTCCAACAAATACTGGAACCGTTGGTGTTGGCATACCTCCGCTCAATTCATTTCGGTTCTGTCAGTCTATCCGACTGGTTTCACCATCGCTTCTTTCGACGGAAAATGCTTTTCTTTTCGTTTATTAGTATCACTTCTGTAGCCATGCAGACTTCTTCCACTATTTTGGTTTAATTTGTTCTAGATGGGTTGGACATCCAGATGTTAAGATCAAAAATCAGTCTGCAGGGAGGATGATAAAGGAACCACAATGCTAATGCTTCAATTCGTCACTTCTTTTATCGTCTCACCGCCAATGGGAGGCAGCAGTGGCTGCCCCGTGTTCACGATAGTCTGTGGATTGTTCTGCGAGACCACATGGTAGGCCGGGTTTACCTCCTTGCCGTTTCTTTGCTTCTTGACACAGTAAATGGTGGCAAAAATTAACAAAACAAACACAAAAATGACAACAGAAACAGGCCAAACGTAACGTCCAATACCATCCTTTCTCAAGGACACAACATCGTCGCCGTTATAAACTGTGCGAGGTGGCCTATTTTCCGAGCTGGTCGACAGGGGTAATTCTGCTGGTGTGTCCGAGGTGCTGGGATTATCGCTAGCCTTTGGCAGCGCATCTTCAGTGGATGTGATCTCCTCTGTGCTAATCTCAGCGGTCATCTGCCCAGCGGTGGTCTCTTTATTGAACTCAATTGAATATTGAATTGAATATTCGTGGCGATATTTCTCTGTAGAGGAGGCATCTGATGAGCTTTCAAAGATGTCTGTGGGTCCGTCCCCGTCGGGCGTGGTAGAGCTTTCAATGAGATCGATGCTGGGCTTTGTGGAAGTGGAATCCAAAGTTGAATACCCATCAAAGTTGGGTGGAACTTCGGGGCCCTCGCTGGCTGTGGAGCTGTCGTTCTCCGTGGAGCTGGATGGGCTATAGGTCGTAGTGCTGGATGGGCTATAGGTCGTAGTGCTGGAGGGACTATTGATCGTTGTGCTGGAGCCTAATTGAACAACACTTGGCTCGTTTTCGGTTGAGGAAACTGAACTAGTGGCTGTTGTGGTGCTGCTGGAATCATTAGCTTCGTCTGTCATTGGGGTAGAGGGATCAATCATGTCCATTGTAGGATCTTCGATCGTCTCAGTGGTGCTGACATTCAGCCACAGGTGTGGGCCGCTGGTGGTGCCCCCTATGGAGGGTACGACCACTTCCTCTTCCTCTTCGGAGGGACAGACTGGACAGCAGACGCCCTCTTTTTGAATGGGATTCTCGCAGTCCGGCTCCAGGCATTGTATGGACTTGCAGGATCGCTCACTCTGCTGATCGCATTCGCATCTGGTGCAGCCGTCATTCTCCATCCAGATATCACCCTTCATCTTGAGCTCATCATTGTAGGTCAAGCAGTTCAACAACTGCTCCGACTCCGACTCAATCAGCGGGCAAATGGACTGGCAGATGGAGCAAGTCGTGCACTCAATGCACGCATTCGGATAGTATCGAATGGGTGCGATCGCGCGATCACAGACTGGCATTTCGCCGACACATTTGTAGTGGGAACAACAGCTGCCTGGTTCCCCGGTGCCATGCATCACCTCAACGAGCACCTGATCCGGCTCACATTCCGGTCTATTCTCCGGACAGCTCTGGCACTTGCTCGTCTGCGGTATAATATCATTGTCCAGAATGGGTTTGGCTGCAAAACGAAGAGAGAAAGGTGTGAATATACCGTGTGCACGTATTGTTGGTTTAGTCTATTAATATCTGGCTCGTATCTGGCTCGTTTCTAGTTATTTTGACAATGCTGAAATGTTTTGCTAACAACAAACGACGATGGCTGGCAGGTGGAAATGCTGCCAAAGTAAATTTCATTTTGTTTGTGGGGAGGAAGGAAATCAATGCAGCAACACGTAGTTGGTGGCTTTCATTGTATGTACATTTTAGGGGACTGTTAATGGGTGTCTAGCGGAGTTTGGAACTTTTAAAGTCTGTTTAAATCTGAAGATACATAAACGGAATTTACTACAGAAAATTTGGGGTTTTTCAATCGCTCGCTCTTCATTTAATTTCCCGTTCACTTCGACTATAAACTTAGAGAAAAATGGCGTACAAAAATGCACCTCATGGCCATCGATCGCATAATTATAATAAACAGATTTTAATATTAACTTGTTCAAATTGTGCCCTTGTTGTTGGGATATACATTTCCTCACCACAGACCACAGAATTCCGCAACTGATTCGAATGCCCTTCTAGTTCAATATTAGCATCTTGAATTCCAGACTCTGGCACACACAACAAACATTCTTTGATGGTCACTGAATTATTCAATAAATCTGGAGGTAAATTTATAAAAATTGCAATTTGATTAGGCGAGGGTTTCTCTCTCGCCAAAGAAAGCCAGAAAACACAGACAATCAAATCAAAACAAAACAAAACAAAACAAAGTGATACGAAAAAGGAAAAGAAAAACGAAATGAATTTTATTTTTGAGGGAATACAAAGTACGCAAGTGACAATCTCGTTTATCATTTATTTATTGTTATTGATTTTTGACATTTTATCATTGAATTAGTAAGGGGAGAGAGGAGTGGAGAGAAGATAAAAAAGCGATAAAAGTTTTTAGGGCAAAACGGAAAAACAATTGCAAAGCAAAACAAAAGAAAAACTGAAATAATTCTTTTCTGGATCGATTGGGTCAATTTGGTTTCGGGATAGCTTCAATTTGTACATATTACAAAAATTCCATTCAAAAAAGTTACAGCCACAGCCTCCCCCTACCTTGCTGCCCCTCGTGCGATCAATGAATAATAAACACGAAGGTTACACATAGAGAGAGTACTACGAATATTTTTGATATTGACGTCACTGTCAAAGACTTTGTAGGTGAAGCGCAGCCGCAGCGCATTTAATTGAACGTAATTTAAAATAGATATAAGTTGTTGTGGTTGTCGCTGTTTTGTTTCGATTCTTTGGCTATCAGGTTAAAGCGATCTATATGACAGGCACCAGACGCTGCGCCGAACTGCGCTCGGTTGGGGGCAATTATTTTCGATGTGTGCGTGCCACACGCTTTTTTTTGCATAGAAGGGCACACACCACAAATGTCGGGGGAGCATGATCAAAGCGCTAGTTCTATTTGGAATTACCATAAGCAGACATGTGAAAAATAATAATGATAAAATAATGCAAGCAAATGCAAAAGACACCTGAACGAAAATTAAAATTAAAAATATTCGCAACACTCGTCCACGACAACAAAATTTGCATATACTAAAATGAATAGAAAATTGTAATTTTTCTATGAAGGGTGGGGTTTTCTATGTCCCAATACAAATTTCAAAAGATCACTGAATATCATGGAATCCAAGGATATGCTTCTGCTTGATTTATTTCCCTTGGTATAAACTTTTAGCTGCAGAAAAATTACGAATAAACACGATTATCTATCGAAAACAATTTCATTCTGAATCTAGTCTTTTGGGGAGGGTCGAATAATTTTCCCAAAATTATATTTAAACGCTTCGCTAGACAATAAACTTGATGTGGCGCATGATTATTGATATTGGGGGTTTATTGACCCAAGCGTATGGTGTGGTATAGTAATTCTTTTTATCGCCTTTTGGGTCAGTCAGCAAAAAGTAAAGAATACAAAAAAATATACGTATATGTATATGAGGAGAGGAGCAGGAGGAGGAGAGTTCCATGGCTCGAACGGTTCCAAAGGTTACTACAGTGTAGATACAAATTGAATGCAAATTACCTAAGCATATATCCGCCTCATAAATGGGTCGGCACTCATTAGCAGTGAGATCTCAGATGATTATGATGATTATAGGGGATCAGAGACACAGACACAGAGAGAGAGAGAGAGAGAGAGAGTCAGAGAGCAACCAGTAGAAGTGCGACCAGTCACTTACGTCACCTCACAGTCACAGATACAGCCAGATAAAACAGATCTTGAAGCAACACAGTCGCTCAGGCGATCCATATTTCTTTTTGATTGATCTACAGTCGAAGGTTGGCATGCATGCAAAAATGCAATTCAGGGAGCGAGGAGAAGCCCCACCACACATAAACCAGATACTCTCTGAGTGACGCGCCATGGCGGCGTATCTCAAAAACGCAAAAATAAATTCCACTACAATTAGCAGTCGGTTAATATTTTTTTTGACACGCTGCCTGTCAGCGCCGGCACCGTTGACATGCAAAGTTACTTAAACATAGCGCTTGGAAAAATCACAAAACACACACAAAGCAAACATTACACGACAATACTCGAATATACCAGTAAAAAAGAAAACAAAAAAGCAAAAACAAGTGGAGGAGGTCGTCGTTTATGTCAATTTCATATCTTAAAGGTCGTCAGACCTTTTTGTCGGAGAGAGAGAGAGAGCGGGACTGGGGCGTACCTGTCTGAAAATAGCCATTACATCCCCAGACGTTAGAGGTTTTTGTTTTGTTTTTTGTTTCTTGCAGTTGATGGAGTAATTAGAGACAAATGTCCAACTGTTGACTCTGTTGAAATTTCGTGTGTTTCCCATTTGGTAATCACGCTGAACCATTGTGGAATTGTCGCATTTTGTTTGTGGCGAATTATCATATTTGTGTACAATTTTATCACATTTGATGGGGCAGCAGATAGATACTCAGCATGCTATGGGCATTAGGAGAGTCATAAAACTGTGACCATGAAGGGAATTACTTGTTAAACTGTGATTTAACAACAGTAATGCGGCAGCAATTAGTGATCCCTGAATGACTGACTGGGAATTAATGTTTGAAATGTCAGGGATTTCCATCTTCTTTCTCTTGCTGTCCAAAATTTGCTGCGACTTCATTTTATTTGCAAGTTTTTAAATGCCAAAAACGTGTTTTCTAAACTGCAATTTACTTTCATAGAGCATATTCCGAGCAATGACTTAACTCTACATGCAAATAATTACAGGTGACGCCACTGCCACTGCCACTGAAATTGCCACTGAAATTGCCACTGATCAATGAACTATGACAGTGATTTAGAGTGATTTAAGTTTCAATGACATGCCCATAAAAATGTGACCCAAAAGCCGAAGCAGTAATCAGTTTTTATAGTTTTCACAAAATGTATTCTAAAATACTATCGTATAACTAACTGAACTAAACACAAAAGGCTATCAATCTTCATGTGTCGCCGTAAGTAAGCGTGATTTATGCGATTTAAAATATACATGTACAGATATGTATTTATGTATGTACTGTCGCGCACTCCAAAAGGCGCTTCGATCTCTTCCCGCATAGTCGGGCAATTAAGTGGGCAGACATAGAACCCATGATACCTCCATGATTCCAACCATAATACAATGATGATTGTCGACCACTTCACGCTAAGCATTAACATTAACCTTAGGTGGGCAACATTAACGCTCTTTTCCTTTGGTTAATATTATTTCTGGCTTTTCCGTATGCCCACTGTTATGGCGTAGAATTTATGAGTGCTCTGCTAATTCGCTGGAATTGCGTAAACAAAACATTTTGCGTATGCCCGAGGAGAGCTTTCTTTTTGTTTCATTTTTTCGCTTAAGCCCGCGGCGACAGGCAGGGTAAACCTTATCTTAATTATATATCAATTATAGTAGTGGGTAGCCGTCACACACTATTCGTATATACTTAGGGTAACAAAATAGAACAGCACATCATTAATTATAAGTGCAAATTCGCAGTCTAACAGATGTGTGCAAAAAAAAAAAAAAAAAGGCAGGCCTTGGAAATCAACTAATGATTGGGGGGCATTCACAACTGTTGCCAACAACTTAATTTGGTTGCCCTTTCTGGGGGTCATTGCTGTGGCTTTATGCTGAAAAAATGTTACCAAAAAGGGTAGCTCAAATAGTTCTTTGAATATCCCAATAAACACCAATATAACCTAGTCCCAAAAAGTGTGAAATTAATATGTGTACGTGCCTTGACTTTAATTGGGTTAGAGCGAGTGTGGTGGGTGCTTCGGGGGTGTACGAGTACGTACGGTACTGCTGATTATTTTGTATTATTTTATACAAATTGCACAATTACAATTAAATTATACGCTAAAGCGTAAAATGTCTGATTAATGGCAAAATGGCATGCCCCTCCCGCGCATCGCAACAGCGGAACAGATGTGCGCGCTGATATTCAATTTATTTTATTTTGTATACAAAATAATAATTATAATGGCAATAATTATGGTTTAATAATTACTGTTTTGGGGGCCCCACAAATGTGTGTCCCCACAAACATTCAGTATCATGACTGACGCCTTTCTGCTGGGATTATTTGTGTTCTCGGCGGTGGTTGCCGTTCTCTTCGAGCCCCTACTGGCCACAGTATGTAACAGATGTCCCCACTTTATAGATTCGCATATATACCTACTACTCGTGCTGTTTGTATGTTCATATGTATATATATCACGCCTGCTCTTTCGCCTACTTATAGCGAGACTTTGAGATACGTTGGCGCGCCATCAACTGCACGGCCATTGACCTGGGCACAACGGCCGCCTTTCACTGCTTGATCGTGGAGCTGCCCAAGCGGCAGGGTAACTTCTTGAACACTCGACTCCTGCTCAATCGACCCGTGTCCAAGATGTGGGTGGATCTGAGCGTGGGACAGATAAGTGGCAGCTCCAAGGATCGCACTGTCCTAAACCTGCTCAGGGTGCGCGTGGATGGCTGTCGTCTGTTTGATTTTCGCAGCAAGAATCGCATTCTGAATGCTGTTCTCGGCAAGCTGCTGCAATCGGGCAACTATCCCAAATCCTGTCCAATTTTGGCGGTAAGTTTGAGAGCTTTCATTTCATCCCTGAACTTGCACTGCATTTCTGTTGGGGTTTAGTGCAAAAAACACTGAAAACAGTTCCCAAAAAATAAGAAACTTCCGACCTAGGCATAGACCATGACCAAACAATTTTTATATACACAAATCCTCCAAAAAGACCAAGAATTTTCCCGAAATATGCTGGAAAATAAACAAGCCAACACGCCTATACTCGGTACCAACTAAATTATTGTTCAAAAATTCACACACGGCCATCATTAAAAAGCAGATATAAATAAGATCGTTTATAGAACACACATCAAAATGCGTATTCGTCGAAAATAGAGCAATTGCAAACTGGAATGAAGTGAGGGGAGGAGAGGAGAGGAGAGGAATGAAACCCAAATCGATTTCTAAATATAATTTTCAATTTTTTTTCTGTCGAAGTTGCGCAATGTGTTAACGCTAACGAGTTTTTCCGATACCAATTTCAAATTCCACAGAATGTCAACTATACGTCCACACATTTTGCCCTCAATCCGGATCACTTTCCAGCCTACATGCCGGACATGAAGTTCAACACGAAACTGGTACTCAATTTGAGCAAGAATATCACACTGATTAGGGCCAGTGTGGATGCCGAGGTAATGAGGCGATCCTAGAAATTCAATAAAGAGCAAATCCAAAGCAAAAGCCATGACTAACTTAGGGGTTTTGTGTATGTAGCTGAAGTGACTAATAGCTTTGGTATGAGTATTATCCAAAGGCGTGTCGAAAAAGCGAATATAAGTAATAAATCTATGGGACTTTTATCAGTCTTCAGGCTTCAGATATTACAATGCCCTTGAAATTTCACCTCAATAACTTTCAAATGTTGCACGTGTGTGTGTTTGTGTGTCAGTGTGTAATCCAGTGATTCATGGCAGCGGTATGTGGACTTTGGCGAGATGGGCGAGAGGGAGAGAGAGAGAGAGAGAGAGAGAGAGAGTGCATCTGCTCGTCTGTGTTGGGCTCTTTCAACTCTTTCTTTTTCGCATTTCGTATTTATTGTAAGCAGTCAGTCTCGGACTTGTTGTTGTTTTGATAATGCGAGTGCACAAAAATAATAGATTAAGCGCTAAGGCATGGCGAACCGAACCCCGCAATCAAATTAAGAAATGACGTGAGCCTGTGACGCTGCTGCTGCTGCTGCTGCTGCTTCTGCTGCCCACAAGAAAAGAGATTTAGCCGAGAAAGAAACATAAAAGAACATAAAAGATCCCTCGGAGCACATGCCATTCCGTAGCTTTCTTTCGTCGTCGTCGCTTTCGGCTTGTCATGGTCTGCGATTTTGAGATACTTTCTTGAGTTTGCTTCAGATAAATTCTGCGTAACGTAGTACAAAGTTCAATGCGAAAAACTCGATTCATTGATTTATGGGGGCGAGTTTCTTATCGAACGAATTCGTCATTAGTATTTGGGAAAGGTGCAAAACAAATACATAAGGGGTTCTTCTATTGCTTTTGGCCATGTTTATGGGGAAGTATCCCTACTTTTTGTTTGTTTTTTGGGTCAATGCCATTAGCATAAAGGCCACAACAAAGGTCACCATGGAGAGGGTGCAAAGGTGGTGACATAAGACCAGGACGCCAGAAAGGGGTCCGGTTGGGTATACTTCGAAATAGCTCACTTAGTGGGTTAGTCACAAGCGACCAACAGCAACACATGCCTTTTGCACATGCCTTTTGCCTCGAGAATGCAGGCCGAAATAGTTCTCGATTTCATTTCGGTAATGGAAAACTGTTTTTTGGGGTCATTAAAAGGCAGGAAGGGAGCAGGGTAGACCCTATTGGAGAGTAGTTTCAGGGAGCACTCACAGAGAGAGAGAGAGAGAGAGAGAGTGGATATTTTATACTCGTTTAGCTCTGCTTCAGCCCCCATTGTGTTGGTCGCCATACCGAAGTTCACTTTTATCGTAGGTATTCATCTGGATGGAATTTATTTGGCAAACACTGGCACAACCACTGAATGTACTAGAGAGAGAGAGAGAGCGAGTTGGTTTATACTTTATACGTAATAGAAAATGTTTGTGTTGTATGCACGACAAACTATCTGCGGCTGTATCTGTAGCCGTGTGGCTGTATCCGTATCTGTATCTGCCGTTGTGTCACCCGTTCGCACCACTTTTGATAAGAATTCCACAAGATTAAGATGGAATTCCGAAATAAAAGTGTTGTGCGCTTCGTTTTGTGTTTGCACTTCTGTTCCTTCCTCTAGCATACAAAAATCAAGACTCCACTCCAGCACTACAAGGTTAAGTTCATTCGATTCTGTTGGTAGATTAAAACACATGTTCTCCTGCAGATACAAATCACTGATGGAGTTCGGCGGGGTGGGGGGAAATGTGTGAAGGTTTTCGAAGTGATATATGAGGGGGATCTGGGAGCGAAACTGCTTGGGCACTGCTTGGGCACTGCTGCTGGTTGTTGGATTTTAATTGCTTTTACTCGTGAGCGATACAGATTTTCCTATGGCAAACGTATAAGGTTTTTAGCCTTGCCCTTGTTGGATTCCTCCTGCATCTTGCTTGTTTACGCTCTTTAAACTTTCTTAACCTTTTTTCTAACCTTAAGAGACATTCTTTTGTATTCTAATCTTTTATTGTAAATGCCAATTCACTGGCTGCATGCCCTAATGTTCTATCTATGCACAAAAGTTGTTTAAACTTTCCCTTTCTTGACCCATTTAATCTTGCCGCTTCCACGCACAGGTTATCCAAACATTTAGCCTTCCCCTTGGGCCCTTCGCTGTGTCGATCAAGGCCATTCCGGTTCATAGGAAAACAAACGGAAACCCAAACAAAAGCGCAACAAATAGAAAAACATAAACAAAAAGAAACGAACAAAAAGAAAGAAGAAAACAAAATATATGCACATAAATAATACAACCAAAAATACAACCCAAAATACACATACAAAGTCTTACGCGCCTTTTTGAATTATCAATGAAATTTCGAAAACAAAACAAAAACAAAATCAAAAACCAAAACAGAAAGAACCAAAACAGCAAAGCAAAAGAATACCCCCGACTATCAGATACCCCCGCTATTCGGATTAATTTATGATCCAACGCTCTAAAATGGAATGGAGCTTCTCTCTCCACAATTAGCACAAAAAAACAATTGGGTAACGATCAGCACTCGGTTGATCTACTAAGAAAACCAATATCTTACACTCTTTCTAAGAATAGATTCATATTATCGATGGCAGGGATACACCACAGCTGATATTCATTGTTGGATTTGGTTGTATATACCCGGGATGTATATATAAACGGGTGCATGACGCAACATGATGTGATGGCGAGCGAAGAGAATGGTATGCTGAGAAGAGCGGGGAAGCCAGATAAAATGGCGAAAAGCCAAATGGAAATAGTTTTAGACGCGTCATAAGATCCCACCTCACTCAATGGATAGTCTATTTATAGCCACATGATGCTGCTGCTGTGACGTACTAGATCGGCCCACTGGATCCAATGTGGTGGCGCCACCACTGAGTTTGATGCATCCAAGAAGATGCTTAGCAGCATGTGGGGTCTGTATCCCTTTCTAATGCATTGGATCTACATATTCCAGTGTGGTGGCAAGCTCCCAAAAAGAAGACGTACCACAAGCTTATGGATAAAACTAAGCGACAGCAACTATACAAGAAGGTCTCGTCGTGCTTCAGTGCTTCAGGCGCACACTCCATTGTCGTTTCACTCACACTTACAGCGAGAGCCCTTTCACTCGCACTTATTGACAGCATTGTTAGGTGTTCCTTACGAGGCCGACGAGACCTCCTTGTAAAACCGAAACAGCTTGTAAATCATCACAGTAACATTCACATTGATCAGCCTGAGACTCGCCCAAACGCGCCCGCGTGTAAACAAAATGAAATTTATTGAAAACCACTTGAACTGAACCGCATGAATCACCTTCATTAATGCCCTGAATTATGTCCTGTTTTTATTCATTATCCATTTGTATGGACTATTTTGAGCATTATTCACTCACCTAATAATCCAGATATTCCGCACATGAGGAAGCAACAAATAATAACATTGGTTAACTTGGCCATTTCACACGCGAAGAATTATAAAGTAAATCGAATATTGGAGGATGTGTTTGCAATCACTTTTTGATTGTTTGTTTTTCGATAGTTGCTTTCTTTTAAAAAACACTGAAACTCTGAAAATAAATACAAAGAATAACAAAGAAATTAATTAGTTAGTTCGTTTAGCATTACTTTTAAATTTAAGCCATCATTTTTTGCCATCAATTAACTGATGTGGTGAAATGTTCCAAATATTACCACAAAGAACACAACCAGCAGGGCCCACTGCTCGATGGCAACTGCATGCAAATTTTCACTGCGTTTTAGCATTCATTCTGGCTGAGATTCGTTCTTCTTTTATCTTATCATAAGTGTATGTGTGTGCACTGCACTTTTTGAGATTTGAAGCAAGAAGAAGCCCCCAAGACGCGAAATTAGTCATGCTCCGTATGCCTGGACACAATTGTTTTATTTCACTTCCACTTGCCGCTGCTTCCGAATCTTCTAATATTTTATTTGTTGTGAACGCGTTGAGTGTCGAGCACATTCTGATTCCAAACTACACACGCCTTTTCCACCATTCTTATTGTTGTGCCTACGAGTATGTTCCCCATGAATCTAAGGTATAGAGTCAAGCGGGTATGTCGCGTTGGGCATTGATATATACAAAACTATTCAACAATTAAGTGGCACAAAAATATAATTTGAGTTTGCACATTTATACGACTACTTTCCATGGGATTTCCCGGTAAATCAATTGACTGTTCACTTTCCTCTTACTTAATTTGATATAAATCAAAGTGTTGGGTATCCACATGGTATCCCTGTTGCCGATTTGTTTTTCGTTTCTTTTACGATTTGGCGACCGATAAGTGCCTTAACACATGCCAAAACTGATTACCTGATAATTCTTTTGATACCACAAAACCCGACCAACACGCGGACTAAGTAAAGTAAACCAGACATGTACGAGTATTTCTTCTTTTTTGTGGGCAGTCGGACAAAAATGTGCAAACTTTTACGTAAATGTCTCGTCAGAGTGCAATCATCGGGCCAATTTTTTCCCTTATTTGGCAGAAAAGAGTGCACCACACAGCCAGACACACACACACACACACACACTGGGAGAGGGGGAGTGGGCATTGGCAGGTATTCAGTTGGCAGTAATATGACCTATGTATGTATATTTTTTCCTAAGTAGTACTCCTCGATGGTTACATCACCCTTTCCGGGTGACACGCTTGCGCTTTTTGTTGGCTCCTGCTGCAGTGTAGGCGCATGTGCCGCCCAGCAGGCGGTTACCGTCTAAGATCCAAGACCATATAAGGAAATAACTTTGGTGTATGCAGAGTTATGCGCACCATTAACCATGAGAAATATCACACTTTTTGTTTGTACGACCGCGCCATGTAAAAAGAAATTGCGCAGATTGGTTAGAAAACAAGAAAAATTCCCACAGAATCGCGAAATTAGGTCGCCCGGCCTACGCAGATTATATACCTACGCACATACAATACATATGGACAGAGACAGACAATCAGTGTACAGATTTACTCGGCTTTATATACCCGTACCTTTTTAATTATTATTTGCAAAGAGTCCAGCTGATCCAAAAATAAAACGTCATTGTATTAATGTATTTTTTCTTCAATTGCCTTCTTTTTGTTTGTCCATGTTTTTTTTGCGTGGTGTTTGTTTTTTTTGGCGTTGTTTTTTATGGCTTTGGCCTGCTCTGCTCTGTATTTTGTTTTGTTTCGTCTTGCCGTCTAATGATGTATTTCGTTTATTAAACGAACGCAACGAGGTTTTTTGGGGAGCTCGCGCAGAAACACAACCGGCTCTAACGAATTTTGAAAACTTTATGCGAAAAAGAGCGAGCGCTCATCACGTTTTTGTGAATCGCTTGGCTGGCGCTCTTTATCTTCTCTATTTCCCAACGCTCTTTTTTGCTCTCTCTGCAAAGATCTCTCTCTCTCTCTCTTTACCATGTGATCTTGTTTTTGTTTTGATAAACAAATGTTGGTAAGTGCGCAATTTCTTGCTGGGCTTGTATTTTCGGTCACGATCTACCACCATCTATTACCTGAATCTGCAAATTTCTGCTACGTATCGTACCGTTGTCGTTGCTCCTCTGGTTTTTGCGTATACTTAATACAATAAAAATACAATTTTAAACTGGACGTTGAACAGCTGATTTGTCTGGTCATTTTCTTCCGATGTGGCAGCTCCTTTCCCGTGAGCGGTAGTATTTAATGACGGCGAGCTTTTGTCAGAATGTCATTTTGAATAGTCGATTTCATGTGCCGGTGGTATTTTTGTTATCGCTAATGTTTTTTTAACAGGCTGGCAACATTTAATTTTATGTATGATGTCGTGTAAAGTAGTATGTACAAATCATGTAGTTCACGTAAGCACGTACAGATGGCGCTTTTTGGGGATTTACTATAAATTTCGAATTTTGATTTTTAACAATTTTTGAAAATCAGTTAAAATCTATTTCATGGCAGTATTTATTCTTCAAAAACCATGAAAAATCGTTAACGGAATTTCTTATTCTTTTATTAATTTTATATCCTATTTAACCGATGCATTGAATGTTTATGTTTTTGGAAAAAAATATGGATTATTGATTTTTAAAAGGGCTTCCCTTAAAAATAGCAATGTGGGATAACTAAGCATTGAGATGGAAAAAGCTATAACGAAGATACCCCCACCGTATAATATCTTGCATTTAATGCTCATTGAATTTAATTGATATTTCATCCTACATCTCGCTGCGCCGCTGACATGTTGACATTTTCTTGGCCTGCCTGCGCGCCACTTGGGGGTTTCTCTGCTGCTGGTTGTGGGACTACACTGGCAGCGGCTACTGGGGGGCTACTGTGGCTTCTACTGTCACTGGTTGTACGAGTGGAGTACTCTTCCCCTCCAACCACCAACTGGCATTGGTAATTAGCACGCGCGCTGCTAATTAACACTTTCTGGAGAGGCCTCTCGCATGTGTGTGTCTGTCTTTGTGTGTGTGTGTCTGTCTTTGTGTGTGTGTGGTGTGTGGTTGTGGTGTGGTTGTGCCCCTTGCAATTCCCCGATGGCTGCAAATTGCACGCGTGGCAACCACCGCTGGACCGCTGAGCGGCATTGCTCCTGGGTTTGTGAGCCTCAAAGCGAAAATGCCGCCGCACATGTAAACCCAAAAATGGTCAAGTTGTGCCTTTTTTTTTGTGTTTTTTTGGCTGCTGCCTAGTTGTCCGATTTTGGTGTCCTGGTGGTGCAGCTCCTCCACCCGCCTGCTCCGCTCCGCCACTCCTGCTGCAGCTCCTGCGCTACAAAGCGTGAAATTTTAATTGTGCCTTTCGGGGCGTTGTCGTTGCTGGTCGATCGCTGCTGGCCTGGGCTGCCTCGACCCGAAATAAAGATCTCTGTGGCGGCGCACACAGCTCATCCACAATCCACAGTCAGGTCTCCCTGCTCCCTACCGCTTGATGGTGCTGTCGCTGCCCCCAAAAGTTGTTCATGCCAAAAAGGTGCAAAAGGCCAAATAGTATTCTGTAGTTTATGTTGTTACATGCCTCGTTGTTGCTGCTGCTGCTGCCGCTGCCGCTGCTTCTGCTGCTGTGTGTCGTTTTGGATCGGACAAAAATGTTCGATGGAATTTGGTGCCACATCTGTTGAGCTTCTCTATTATGCTCGTATGATCGGCCCCGCTACTCCTTCTTCTCTCCTGCCAGAAGATTTCCCTTACAAGTTGCAGTATCTGCACCTGATGTCATCTATGGAACCAGCCAGCCAGCAGCAGCAGAAGATGATCATCAAAGCAGCTTTAGGGTTATTTCTTTCCACCGTCCGTCTGTTGGCTCTGTGGCTCTATGGCTCTCTGTGTCTGCTTTGTTGCTGTTAATGGTTGCTGCGGGCCAAATCAATTCCAGGCCCGACATGTACGCCTTGTCTGCCATTTTATTGGTTGACAATAAAAGTGAGCCAAGTGTCCGACTGTCTGCTTGCCTCCTCCTTTTGGGCAATGCATAATAATTATAATCCATTTAATTTTTGCAGACTCTTGCCATGGCAATTCCATCGATCATTTGGCAGCGCGCAGCGCGTTGCCAGCAATGGGGTCAAGTGTGTGCGCTGACCTCTTGGTCAGAGAGTTTTCCTTTTTGCATTGTACGTCAGTCAGGCCCATGAAGTGGAAAGCCACAGCCAGCCAGAAAATGCCAAATATCTAATACGCTTCCACCAAAATGATCAAATTCATGGAATTTTCGCATAAAGCCAATCCAGAGACCAGGTCGTCTCTTCTGCTCCGCACCGCTCCGCTCCGCTCCGCTTCTCTTTGCCCTGCTGCCGGTGCAGCTCCACCAAGATTTCTTCTCCTTTGCGTAAAGCAAACAAAACGACGACGCGACAGGTGAATCGGCCGCCCGTTGACTCGCCCCATACGAGGACATTGCACAGACAGAGACGGTCAAGCCGTATGCCACGACGCGACGCGACGCGAAGCGACGTTCCGTTCCATACTTGATTTCGGTTATGGGCCGCAGACGAATCTCCCCCAAACCATTCCGACTGGGTCTTGGGTCTTGGGCCTGGTGCCTGCTGGCTGGTTGGCATCTTTTTTTGGTGTTCACATGTGCCAAATGATGTCGATGGCAGCGGGCGAGGCAAATCGATGCCACAGTGGTCTGAGAATGATTAAAAAAGAGTAAGAATTATACTTGAGAATATGAAAAGTGATATTTTAAGTGTATTTAGCCTAGAGCAAAAATAAATTTCATACCTTAAAGTTCTTTGTGTTTCCTTGCCCCACTGTCCTTATTTGTGTGTGTGTGTATGTGTGTTTTGGCCACCCGCCTTTGACTCCTGCCTCGCCTGCGTCACCCACTTTGCTGTTGTCCATGGACCTGCGCTTCTTTGGTGGATCTTCGGATGACTCTTTGGTTGCTGCTGCTGCTGGTGCTGCTGCATCATCTAACGCAGCGGCGGCTGCCAAGATCGATCGTCCACTGCCTTTTGCCTTCAGACTGCTTCCAGCGTTAGCTCCAGCTTCAGCTCTTTGGGGCGCGCGTTGTCGTTTCGATCGATCGACGATGCTTTTGGGTCTCCCAGGCTGTGGCCTCCCGTACCCATCTCCATCTCCATCTCCCGTACGCCGACTGGGCTGTGACCGACCATTACCAGGCTTTTGGTCAATTGATGACCAGTTCGATTAGTTGTTGTTGTTGCTGCCTTGGCTCTCAGTTACAGCCTTTTAGTCTTTACACCTTCTTTTATTATTTTCCTATTTTTCGCCAACTGCTGTTGTTGTTTCCATGTATTTAAATTGCCAACATAAATTTTATTCGCAATATTTGCTTTAATGAAGTTTTTTTTTCCTCATTTCTGTAATTTCTGTTGTGGTTGTTGGTTTGTTGTTTGTATTTTTTGTATTTTTTTTTATTTTCCTTGGATTGTGATGCTGCAATTGCGAATCATAAAATTGTAAATTGGTGAAAATTGTGCACAATTTGTTAGCTCACATACAGACGCGTATATCTGCAGGGATGAGGGGGGAGAGAGAGAAAGTGTGGGTCTATGGGTCCAAATTTTTCTTTTGAATTTTCGCACATTTGAGAAGTTTTAAGTGCCTAAACAATTCTTTAATTTCTTTACCCTAGAAGAAACTAAATTTCAGTTTATGTTGATGGGGTTTAAGATGCACTTAAATTAAACTTAATTTAAATAATTGAATAAAACATATTAAAAGAAATAATTGAGTTAAAAAAGCAACTATGAAAATATTTTAGCAGATAATATTTCTTACACTACCATATAGAAATTGTTGTTCCTTGACTCTACGTTATGAAGCTTTTGTTTGTACTTTTTTTAGGCACTGACATCATTATAATTTCTTTCCTATCAATATTAAAATATATATTGTGTGTCACGCGCCCCTTCGTCAATCGTTGGCTTATTTCCCTAATCAGTACTCATCAAATCGTATTTAAAACATATTGGTAACTACTTCCCTGTGTGGTTTTGCTATTTTCTATTTACTCTCTACAAGGGTGCCAAATATTTCCTAATTTTCGTTTATTTTCCCTGCTTTATTAGTTTTTCTCACTCATATATCTGGTTTTGAGGCAATAACTGCCTGTAAGCCTGTAAGGTTAAATAAACCGCAAAATGTGAGACACACAAATAGAGGGCGAGAGAGATAACTGCATATGTGCAGTAAGAGGTAGAGAGAGAGAGAGAGAGAGAGAGAGAGAGAGAGAAGAAGCTAGTCAAAGAGACGCCATTTGTGAAGGCAGACAACTCCACACTCCACACCTCCCTCCCCCTATCCCAGCAATGGGGTTTCATCACGTAAGACTAATTAACAGCAAAATAACCCAGCGCACTTGTTTGTGGAACTCTTCATCTCCATCACCATAGTATAGTATCTGTGGAATTACAGCCATCCACTTATCCTATAGCCTACACTCCCCATCCTCCCATCCTCCCCACCCTTGGGCCACAACCACAGTCATAATTAACTTGCTGCTGGCTGCTAAATTTTTAGTGGTTTTCTGTGCTCTGTTGTGTTTTTCTTTAGCATCATCGTCGTTCGACCT